TCGAGCTGCCAAGGCCATGGTTGCTGTGTCAATTTGTTTCCTTTTGGCGCTGGACAAGTACCAATTTATGTCCTATGGGTGCTGCATAAGTACCATAATCCTTTTGGTGCTGGACAGCCCTAATTTCTTGCCCTTTAAAAGGCCAGGGCTACGAAGGGCGTACTCAATTCAAATATGCTGTTGGCTCAGCTCCGCTTGAGATTGGCAAAGCTTGTGTTGAAGAACTTGCCAGTAAGTTCTTGGTGCGTACATGATTCTGACAATATGGTTTTAAGCCCTACTATGCTCAGCCAATTTTAGGCTTCAAAACAGCAGCTGCAATGATTCCTGGGTTCAGAACAAGGCTAGATCATGGTGAAGAGCCTGTGGTGAAGACAAAGAAGACATTGCCATGGTGTCTTGAAGACACAGCCAGTGGTGACCGGCTGAAGGCAAAATGGCCAGGTCCTGTTACAGATGCATCATGGGGAGAGGCGTGTCCACAACGGGATCTTTGGGCATTGTGGGAGAAGAACCGATGGAAGTGGGAAAAGAAGACCCGAATCCCAATTCTGAATGTGAGTTGGCTCTCAGTGTCTGATGAGGGTCGGATTGGTTGTGTCATTTGCAAGATGACAAAGCAAGACAACGAGTACGGCAATTATGATGTTATCACAGGCAACTTCAGCAACATGAGAAGGCATGCAGAGTGCAAGCAACACCGACAGGCTTTAGCGTCATTGGGGCTCATTGATGTTGGTGCAGAAGAGGATGCGCCCAGTTTGTCTGCCTTTGAACAGGTCGCCAGGGGCAGAATGAAGGGCCCCTCAGCACTGAGACATGGGGAAGCTGGTGTTGGCGGGCGGAAGAAGGTCACTCACATGGTGCAATGTTTGGGTGACGCAGTCTTTGATTTGGACCGACGTTTTGTAGCCACTGCCGAGACCATCGCATTGCATACAGACGTCAGGCAACTCAAGCTCCTGGTGCGCTTTCGCGCTGCAAACATGAAGCTTGAATGGAGAAAAGGTATTCTGGGCATCGCGGACTTGGAGAGAACCTTGACGAGTTTGTGAGGGTATTTTCTAGGTTTTTTTGACTCACAGAAGCGCTGTGATAGCGCTATCACAAATCACAGACTCTTCTTTTTTCCTTTTTTACCAGTTTGTGAGGGTCTTTTCTAGGTTTTTGTTTGACTCACAGAAGCGCTGTGATAGCGCTATCACAAATCACTGACTCTTCTTTTTTCCTTTTTGACGAGTTTGTGAGGGTGGTTCAACCTTTTTTTGGACAGGGTCAAGTGATGCCACAAACAAAAAGGAACCACATCTACTGCGCTTGCAGCCGCATTGCAAAAGATGCTCAAGGACTTCTGCCAGCAGGATGAGGAGCTCTACAATAGCGTTTTGAAGCATATTGAAGTCCTTGATGCAGACGGTGCCAGTGATGAACAGACCAGCGCCCGAGAAATCCGGGCAATGTTGTTGAAAGATGTCAAAATGATCCTCAAGGACAAAGCTCATGCATCGCGCAGAGTCCTCTCCAGACCATGGAATGTCATGCCGGAACTTTCTGAAGCATGGTCGATGTTTGTGGGAGACAGTTCCAGTGTTGTCCGGATGATCCAGAAGTCTGGAGTCCTGTCTGTGAAATTTCATGAGCATTGCCAAGCCATCGAATCAGTCCCAGTGTCTGCCAAGAGGATTCGCAACCTGGCGTTCAAGAAACAGCGCTTCGACTCGGTCTCAAAGCCTTTGGGACGTGGAATACTGTTCCTCGAAGCAGTGCTCCAGACAGCTATATGGGCAACCATTCATCGACGAAGCGAAGAAGACGGAAAAAATGCAAGTGCATTCCTAACCTGGATTGACGAAAAGAGGATTATTCTGCTTGGCATGTGCGCAGATTGCGCAGATGCTGCCATGGGCCTTGTCCGGAGCTTTGACAGTGAAAACCATGATCCGGCAGCATTGCATTTTCAGGCCGAACGGTTCCTGAGTGAATTGCATTACCTCTTCAACCAAGAGGCAGCCCTCCGCGCAGAAGGATACACCCAACACGTCTTACTGCAATTGAAGCAGACTCGAGGATTTCTCTTAAAGGGAGAAGCAAAAAGCATTGGAGGGCCGGGAAAGGTCAATGATGCAATGCTGCGAGAATGTCTTGCAAGCATGAGGTCATATGTGTCACTGGCAGTGGAGGTGGTGAACTCGGAGTTTCCATGCTATGAGCTACTGGGCGCATTCAAGCTGTTTGATGTCCAACAAAGGGCGCAGGGACTTGCTTTGGAGTTGGATGCCGACACTGTGAAAGAGCATGGCACTAGGCTTTGCCAGGTGTTTGGCTTGAACATTGATTCATTTCTCACACAGTACTGGGACCATTTGCCCATTGCCATCAATGAAGCCAGAGCCCACAAACTGGAGAATCATGCTGCATGGTCCTCAGCCATCCGGAAGACATCCTCTCGATCCAGTATCTCACAGCATCATCCGAGTGACACACTTCGATTGGTGACAATGAGATATTTGCGCTTCCACGGTTGCTCAACCAGTGGTGTGGAGCAGAATTTTAGCAAGCTACAGAATCAAATTACTCCTGCCAGAGATCACATGGATCCTGCCACATACCTGGCAGAAGCAAAGCTGGTCATTGACTGCTCTGAGAGTGATTTGAAAGAGGTTTGCAAAGCCGCGCAAGACTCTTGGCGCAAATGGTTTGGAGCCCCCAGAGAGTCTTGCTGGAACCGCTTGGATTCGGGGGTTCCAAGGAAGAGGCAAGCTGACAGTGAGGCCACATGGTTTAGCAAACGACGGCAGCATGTTGCTGAGAATGCGGCCATGGTCTCACGTGAAGCTGTCACGTTGCCTACAAGTTAGGAACATGTTCTCTCTCCTTTTTTTTGGCCACTTTTGGTGCTGAACAAGTACCTTGTCATTAAATTGTCAGATCAGGTCAAAGCTGCGAGTGCTTCTCATGAACAAGTTGATCGGACGGAAGAGGAGAAGGAAAACATTGACAAAGAGCTTGCCTTTCAACGATCCAAGCAGATGAAGAACCAGATGGAAGCATACTTGGACCGGGTGCTTTTGGAAAGGGAAGTGCCTCCAGGATTGCGTGATCAGGTGCAATATTTTGTATCCAATCAGGCTGAAAACTTCCGAAGACGTAAGGCTGATGAATCCCGCATGCTGCAGATTATGAGCCCCCTCCCACCGCAGGCAGGGAGAGGTTGTAAAGTAACCCTGAAAATGCATGTTTAAATCAGTCAAATGATGCATCTTTACTTTGTGTCGACCTAGGTGGACTTTGCATGCCACAAGTTCTATTTGGAGGACACACATTGGCGACATTCGCCGGGTTTTCCTCAGACATTGACTTTGGTGCCTGACCCTTGGCGTGCTGATGTTTGCGTGGTCGCAGACCCAGCAAATCCTCCGCCAAATGTATTGTGGCACACAGCATTGAAAGGTGGGCATGTAGTCACTTTGAGCTACTGCATACAGCGCAGCTGCCAGGGGCTCGCCTACACGTACGGGGCCGCCATCCTGACAAAGAGGAGCATTTTCGTGGATGATCGGATGGCAGCAGAGAGCCCTGAGGAGGCAGAGGCAGTGCGGAGAATGTCACGCCTGCCACAGTCAAAGTGGAGGCTGCTTTCAAGTTGGGAAGAGTTTGCCTCAGCCACTGACAAAGTTGCTGGCGTGCATCTACCGGTGAAGCAGAGGCGGGAGATGGAAGTGCTGGCATTGACGGTTGAAACGGTAGTGCATCATTTGAACCGCAGAAATGTGGTTACCAAAGAGCAGTTCTTAAAGGGAACTGTCCGGCTCTCTTGTACCCAAAGGGGAATATGTGGCAAGTGAGCCATGTCGTACATCTGCAGGGGAGGGCAGTGTGACAAAATGCCTTTGGCCATCACACGGCAGTGTAGAAATACTAATTCATCTCCTTTTTGGGTGCTGGATGGAGAAGTACCACTTTGTTTCTTTTTGGTGCTGGACAAGTACCAACAAACTCCACGTGCAACCAGGACTTTGCAATGCATCACATTACCAGCTCTCTGCTCTGCACTGAGGCTCCATAGGCGCTGGGCCTGCTGGAGCAAGATCAAAGGGTGCTGTGCAAGTACCTTTCATGTTGCCTGGGTGCCGAAGAAGTATCTCATTGAAAGTTTTTCATGGTTTGTTTCAGGTGGCTGGAAAACAAAGAGTTGAGGCTGAGGATCAGATCAGGACATCCTGAAAGTTCCATATTGGGTAAAATTCTAAATATCTTTGGTGAAAACTTTAAGCTCCACTTTTGAATTTACTGTGTTGATAAGAAGCACAAAAGAAAGACAGGAACTGAAGGAATTAGACCATGAAAAGTGTTTTCATAACTTTTTCCAAAAATCCTAAATTTCAAGAAATGGCCTCAAAACTCTTGAAACCTCAGTGGAAGACAGGAACTGAAGGAATATGACCAGGAAACTATCTAAGAATTAAAAATTAACTAGCTACTTTTGGTTCACTTTTTCTCCTCTCCCCCTGTCTCTGTGTCTCTTCCCTTAACGGGGGGAGTCCGTTCGACTCTTCGGACCGACTCTTCAGACCTTTCGGCCGGCGCTCCGGGGATCGACTCTCCGGACGCACGGCGGCTCGAAGACTCCAAGGCCCAAGGTAAGGTTGGACCTTTCGGCCGGCGCTCCTGTGGGACCGGTCCCGAAGATTGGGAGTGCCGCTGGCGCTGTGATAGCGCAAAGTAACTAAACACTCCTCCGGGACCGTTCGAGCCTCGGGACTCCCTGGTCGGATCTCTGGGTGCCTCTGGTCTCCAAACACCGGTCCCAAACACCGGTCTCTCTCACCGCTCCACCGCTCCCAAACATCGCAACCCCGGTCTCTGTGTCTCTTCCCTTAACGGGCACGAAGCGAACTCTCCGGACGCACGGCACCGAAAGACTCTCGGCACCCGGGGCCCCGAAACGCTCCACTGGGACCCGGGGGCGTTAAGGGAAGAGACACAGAGACAGGGGGAGAGGAGAAAAAGTGAACCAAAAGTAGCTAGTTAATTTTTAATGTTTAGTTAGTTTCCTGGTCCAATTCCTTCAGTTCCTGTCTTCCCTTGATGTTTCAAGTGTTTTGAGGCCATTTCTTGAAATTTAGGATTTTTGGAAAAATTTCAAAATCAGTTTATTTTTTTTAAAACTTGCTGGTCAAAGTCCTTCGCTTCATTTCTTATCAAAAGCGTATGATGGAGTTTCGAGTGGCACTTGCACCAGAGATGGAATGACCTTGATGGAGAGGAGAAAACACAGGAAAAGAACAAAGCAAGGACAAGGTGTCATTGATGTTCGAAGAGTTTTGGTGACAATTCTGAAAATTTAGGGTTTTTGGAAAAGTTGTTAAAATTCAACATTTTTACATAGTTTCCTGGTCAAATTCCTTCATTGTCTGTTTAGAGCATGGGGAAAGACCAAAACGTTTTCTGCACGGGGAGCCGGACCGAGTCCGGGTCCACAACGGGGAAGCGCTCCAGGAGATGCGTATTGTGGCCTCGTGGCAAAGCTGTGACAACCCCAGGTGCGTGACGATGCCGTGCGACGTCCGTCGTCCATCGTCCGGAACTCTGGAGCTTCGGTCATAGCGTATGCACTGATTCGCAGCCGTGTTCAAGCTGAACTGAAAAAGGTAGATCTGTCACCTTTGAACTTCTTTGGGTTCCATGTCGCCGAAGAAGCGCGCCGCTGAGCCAGTCCTGTCGGAGGCCCCAAGTGAACAGCTGCAGCTGTCCGTGCTGGCGACCACGAGATCCAAGCAGCAGAAGTTGTTTGCTGTGAAGAGTGAGAAGACGAGTGAGAGTGAGCCGGTGGAGCAGTGCCATTCTGTCAACTTGGAGCGACTGACTGCTGTCAGCCTGGCCAGGGACGCCATCCTGATGCACCCAATCTTTTCAGATGTGCTGTCATCTCCCCCATTGAGCATGGACGAAGGCAATCACAAGGTGGAGGGTGCAAAATGCAAAACTGTTGACTGTTGACGGTTACGTTGTCCATTTCTATTCTGAGGCCACTGGTCCTCTATACCAATGAGGCCCAGCAGTCGGGGACGTCCCCGACTGCTGAGAGCATAGGGGGGGCGCGTAGGTCATCAGTGTTGAGGAGTGATGGAGTAACAGACCATAGCCTCTGAGCATACCTCCAAGCATAGCGTACCCAAGGCCCTCAGCAGTCGGGGACGTCCCCGACTGATGGCTAGTCAAGGTATGTTCTCCAGGTCTTCTGAACATTTCCCATAATGTTGAAAGGTAACTGCGTGAGAGAGCGAAAGAATTTCTTTAGTTTAAATGTAGCATTATTCCAGTCTGTGTGTATGGACAGGTGGCTTTCAATGTGAACCATGCGACTATGACCTTGCAGAACAGTGGCAAATATGATTGCTCTGCCAACCTTTTCTGGTTGAAGGTCACCCATCTTGTGCAGCCTGGTGTTCCAATCAACGAGCGATCCATCCGAATCATCATGGATACGAAGTTTGCATCACCAAAGACTTTGCTTGACCAAATAGTGGTTCGAGCGCCTCAGGCGGCCACAGGACAGTCCATTGCGCAAAGGTTTGGAGCACTTGAATTTGTCAGTCCGCCGGAAGTCATCCATGCTCTGTTGCTTCGAATCCATGAGAGACTTGAACCTGCAGAAGAAGAAGAGTTGCGGGCATGGCGGAATTTGTGCCTGACCTGCACATTTGTCTTCGAAAAGCTCAGCAGCCCGGATGAAGCATATTGGAGGGCTGTCAACTTGCGCGAGCAAGTTGTGACTGACTTTGAAAGCTTGGCCCGTGATGTGTCCCAGAGAGTCTTTGAGTTGGTGGGCTACAGAAACCTGATGAAGACCACTCACAATCGGGAGCTAAACAACAAAGACCTGGCCGCTGCATGGAAGCAACATGTCATTCAATGTGAGTCGAAGTTCAGTGACAAAGTCACTGAGAATTTTGTTGACACGGCGATGAAAGTGTACAATCGACTCTTTGTCGCTTGCCCAGACAGCCTGCATATCATCATGGAGGAGTGACACTGTGTGGTTGTGTGTTCAGTGTGGTGCTGTACAAGTACCCTGATGGCCAATGGGTGCTGCAGAAGTACCCTTTGTCCCTGAGCCCTTTGAGTCGTGAGGGAGCTGAGATTTGTCCGGCATTTGTTGCTTTTCAGGACGCCAAAATGAACGGCAAGGCGTCGCCTTTCAATCAAATGAGCGCTTTGGAGCAGATCACCATGAAGTGCAAAACCCCTGAGAACGTTCTTTGGGTCATGAGATCCATCATGGACTACATGCACAACATGCCGGATGAGTTTGGGGCCCAGAACTTTACTTTCAGGCAGCTGAAGGGTGCTCAGGGGTCGGTTGGCTACATTCAGCTGTTTCTGACCAAAAAGGAGATTATGGAGCACTTCCTGACAAATGTTCTGAGCAAGTTTCCCAGGGATGAGTTCAAAGACTTTGTCAAGGGCAACCTCACCAGCCACCAGGGTTTCAGATCGTTCTGCGGAAGTGAGCAGGAAGCAGTTGACTTGTCATGGCAAGGTGAGCACTCAGACGCAGAAATCCAATCAGTCCAGTTCCTGAAGATTGTGGTGTTCAGCAAGGCTTTGGATGGGCACTTGAAGACAGTCCTCAAAGGAACCACCAACATTGAGGATGTCATGATGTCTCAGAAAGTGGCTGATATTGTCACAGAGCTCATGTTGAAGCTGGAGGCCGAGATCAATCCCGGTGCTGTGAAGAGCTCAGCGCTTGTCCCTGATGACGATTGTGAAGAGACAAAAGTTTCTTTGGAAAGCCTGGTGGATAGTGACCTCCTGGAGGATGAGGACAAGGCGCGAGATCTCCAAGAGCACTTCAAGGCAGTCCAGGAGTATGTTGGACGCTTCATCACCTTCAGGGTGGCAGAGCAATCCGTTCTGAAGACTCAGCAAGCACTGGAAGGCACTGTGCTGAAGAAGTTTCCAGTGCGAGGCAAGCACTGGTGCATTTGGTACGATACCAAAGTTCAAGGTGAATCCTCGGCGCAACCACATTGCCGCTGCCCACCATACCAAAAGGCAACTTTCAAGAAGCATGTGCAGGCAGCTCTGGCAGTCCGCGATCAGTCAGAACTTGGAGAACAGACATTGGTGATGTGCATGGACGGGTTTCGTTCTTTGGAAGGGCAATTCTCAAAGGACTTGCAACAGCCCAGCGGTGATCCCATGGTGAAGAACCGCACCACCTTTCAGGTGGCCTATGATGAGAAGGCGCTGCGGACCCGGAAGATGCTGACAAGAGGCATGGTCAGTCAGGTTGAAGGGCTTCATGTGTACAGCTCTGAGGGTTTGTCCTTGCAAGATCGTGATCGGATGACCTACCACGGGTCCACGCATGGGTCTTTGATCGGCCCAGTCATTGTTGCTCCTTTCAAGGAGGGGTTTCTTCTGAGCAGAGAGTCCAAGGAAAAGTTCCTCGGTGATGACGGCAAGATCCTGGCCGGCGGGGCGTGTCCGTCACAGACCCCGGTTCCAGATCTGGGTGACAAGGTTCCAGTGACTTACTACTCATTGCCAACTGTCTTCTACTCGGAGATGATCCACTCATTCGAGCTTGGCGGTGTCTATGGTAGCACATGCATGGATGTGAGCTTTGCTTTGGCCTGCCTCAAAAGCAAGACTCCATATGTTGGGTCATGCCTCAGTGAGTTTGCTTGTCAAGCGCTTGAAGCCGAAGTGATTCGCATTTGCTGGAAGGAGTTCTTGACACCGGAGTCCCCCCTGTATGACATCAACCTGCACAAGCTGGTGGAAGATGTCAATGTGAAGGCCCCAAAGGGCAAGAGTGGCAGGGGTGGTAAAGGTGGCAAGAATGGCAGATCTGGCAAGAGTGGCAGGGGTGGCCAGGGTGGCAAAAGCGGTGCAGATGATACAGCTGAAGAAGGTGCAGGCGAAGGAGGGAAAGGAGGCAAAGGCGGCCAAAGTGGTGCAGACAGCAAAAGTGGACGAGGGAAAGGAGGCAAGAGCAAAGGCACCACAGAGGCAGACATCATGGGCTTGCTGAACTCCCTCAGCGCATCTGCCTGATTCGATGGCCAGATTGACACCTGAGTGCGCTTGAGTCGTCTTCTTGGGATACTCTGCTGAAAAGCCAGTGAGAGTAGATTGAGCTAACAAGCTGCAGGCATGTCCCTTGGTAGAGAATGTTTAAAAAGAAGTTCTGTACAGCTGTTGTTGTTTTGAATGTGGTCATGGTGACTGTTGTGAGTGTTGTCATGGTGAATGTTTGACTGTTTTGAATGTTGGGCAGCTCACGCTCAAAGTTTGAACCTTTCTTAAATGAGTGACGACCCAGCTGCAGCCTTGTCCCTTGAGGAATTTTTGTTTTGGGTTTCACTGACCAAGAAAAGCATTAAGGAAGTAGAACGGTAGGGGGGGAGGAGAGCCAAAAGGGTTAAAAAAAACAGGCATTATGGTGTTTTGTGTTCGAGAATCGGGCAGCAGGCAAGCGCTCAGGAACTGTCAGCTGTGAAACCGCAGCAAGAAAGAAGCACAGCATGCTGACAAAGCATGGAAACCTTAGAGCATCCTGTGGCATACACAGGACAGTGCCCAGCACACGCGGGCGCAGGAAGGAAAGAACATGAATTGAGTTCGTCGTGTCTTTTGTTTCATCGAGTGTGTCGGATGCTGCGCACTGTGTCTTCAATGCACGGGGAGTGTTGCTGCTGTCAGGTGATGGGGGCTTCAAAGTCAGTGACTCAGTATGTAAACTTGGCAGCTTGGATTCAGTATTGCGCTTCTTTCAATCGGTGCTGCATAAGTACCTTGGATTTCCTCCTGGTGCTGGACAAGTACCATGTCATTTTTTGGGGGTAAAATGAACGACGCGCCACATGCCTCAATGTCTCTGTCGTCTCAAGTGGGTGCCTGAAGAACAGCCATGGCGCCCAAAGACCGGCGGGGGCATCGGCGCACTAGCTCTCAGGTCTGGAGAGAAGGAACCAAGAAGATCAATGCAAAGCAAGCCGACCTAGCTGCCCTTCGTGAGAAGACCCAGAATCAGAGAAAGGCCGTCCAGGCACTGGAGGAGGAGGTGGAAACCTTGAAAAGGAGAAAAGCGTTGCTGACGAGAAGGAGCACCTCAAGCAGCGCCTCGTCCTCAAGTTCCAGGGCCTCCAAAGGCCAGAAAAACGTGCTGCGCAGTCAAGTGCTTTTGGTTATTTCTGTGCATGATAGGTGTTTCCGCACAAGATGCCAAAGACGAGAAGCTCACTGGTCCCTCCACAGGCCAGAAGAAAACATATTTTTCCTGCTCCAATTGCTTGTTGTGCTCGGTGATGTTCATTATGTTGGTTGAGTATCACATTGATAGGTGTTGACCAGAAGTTCAAAGAGAAGGGCACTGATAGAGGCACTGCAAGAACAACAGTTTTGGAGCTGAACAAGTACCGCCTTAGGCACCTTTGTTTGTTTTTGGTACTATGTGCATGGTAGGTGCTTCCTCTAAAGATGCCAAAGAGGAGAAGAAGCACACCAGTCCCTCCAGAGGCCATCCAAAAACATATAAGATGAGCTTTTGTGTTTTATGTTGAGATTGACAGCTTCCTGGTAGGTTCCTCTGCCAAGCGGGCCAAGAAGCATTGAGTCTGCAAGCCAGACAACATTCAGCTTTGACAAAGGTGCTGCAAAAGTACCCTTGTTCTTTTTCTTTGGGTGTTGCACAAGTAGCGCGCTCATGAAGATGGGAAGAGAAGAAGGCTGTGCAGAAGCCTGCGGCCACCATATGAGATCTGGTACCATCGGCTAAAAAAACCGGTATTGCAGGGAGTGGAGACGGTGTTTCTTTTGTGAAGAGGCGGAAGTTTGCTGTTGTGGATCTGCTTTTCCCAAGGTCAATGATGATGATGGTTGGGTCAGGGTCAATCAAGCCCTCGCCTAGCGCTCAGAAGGTCTTTCTTATGGCAGTTGTTTTCTTAATAGACTTGTTAGATATGATATGTCAATATTTTGGTGAGCCCTTTTGTGGATCAAATTCAGAATGCCTTCTGTCAAAAAAGACAATTCAAAAACAATCAGGCACGCATGGTCCACATGGTGGGGATGCTTGGGCAAAGATCCTTGCGTGGATCATGGCGCCAGCCTTGTCAAGCCGGCCTTCACACTGCGCCAAACACACTGGCAGTATCAGGAGGCAGCTCCGTGTGGGCAGCTGCTGCAGTGGCTTGAGCGCTGAACTCCTGGCACTGGAGATGCTGGGAGTGTGGTTTGTGAGTTGCCTGGGGTGTGAGATAGAACCCAAGGTCCTTAGTTTGAACCAAGCAATGCATGGCCATTGCCATGTCTTTCGAGACTGCTGTACAGAGGAGTTCTTGGCATCTCCGGGCTGCGACTTGTTCGTGGCAGGGTTCCCCTGCCAACCTTTTTCCAAGGCTGGATGCAACCGTGGAATTCTAGACCCACGCGGCGTGGTGATTTTTTGGATCCTGCGATGGCTGTGGCTTCACAAGCCTGCGTGCTTTGTCTTGGAGAATGTGGGCAACTTTGCGCAACAACATAAAGAGACTTTGAGTATGATCATGAACATTCTGACTGCCATGCAAATTTACCATGTGGAATGGAAAGTCTTGGAGAATTCTACGGTTGGTTGGCTCCCACAGCATCGGGAGCGGATTTTTATCTGTGGTGTGCTCAAAGTTCATTGGTCTCAGCCATTTGATTGGCCAGGTGATGTGGCCATGCTGCCTCTGCGAGCATTTTTCAAGGAAGACCGTGAGCATCGGGAACATCTAGGCATAGACTCCTTAAACAACACAGAGAAGAAGAATGTGCAGAAGGCTGTGGCCACAATACGAGAACAGGGCTGGAAAGCAGAAGACCATGACTATGTTTGTGACATTTCTGGCAGTGTGCCTCACTCTATGTGGGGTGTATCCCCATGTCTCACAGTGACACGAGCTGGATCTTCAGGCCATTGGCTCTCCTGGCTCGGACGGAAGATGACAACGAGCGAGATTTTGAGCCTTCAGGGCATCTCACTGGAGAGAGTTGGCGACTACTCAAACCACATGTCAGAGCGGCAGCTTCGCCGAGCAGCTGGAAACGCAGTGCCCGTGCCATTGTTGTCACGGGTGCTCAAGATGCTTCTAGTCGCATGTGGGAAGTGGCGATCCTGTCAGTAAGCCTGGATATGATGGTGTCTTCAGTGGTGCCAAAATCCAGTTGCTGGTGACTGCGTTTGGCAAGTACAGGTGCAGTGTTCTTTCACAGGCGCTAGAGAAGTTCACTGCAACAGACAGTCCCCCTTATCGCCGCAGCAGCAGAGAAAGAGCTTGTGGCGCTGAAGAAATACTTATGAATTCATTTCCTTTTGGTGCTGGACAAGTACCATTTGTTGTTTTGGTGCTGGACAAGTACCAAGTAACTCCGTCTAACTGGGACTTTGCAAAGCATGACATAGCATTGCCAGCTGTTACCAGCTTGGCCTGAGGCTCTGCGCTCTGCGCTCAGGCTGCAGTAGGTGCTGTGCAAGAAGTACCATGTCACTGGAGACCCTGGGCTCTGTGTGCCCGAAGTTGGGCATATTCAATCCATGATCATAGGACTTAGAGAGAAATCACATCCACAACTGGAAAGACAACATCGAGCTGCTGAGGCCATGTGTGATGTCAGGATGTCAGGTCCCAGACGAGGCGGGAGGCACTTTGTTTTTCATTTTTTCACGCAGGCGTCAGGGCGAATCCGAAGCGCTGTGATAGCGCAGTGCGCTGTGAGAGCGCAGTAGGGTCATTAGCATAGTCGTCATCATCATTATCTTTACTGTCATCATGATAATCATCATCATGCCCATCATCAATCACTCCCATGATGATCCTAATTGTCACACTGATACTCATGGACGGACCATGCCACGGATTTCCCAGGAGCCGCGCGACGCTTCCAAGTCTATGAGGGCCCAGCCCTCTGATTGTTGCAAACGCTCATACTTGAAGGTGTTGTTTGCTGAAGGACCTCAGATGCTGTATTCAATGATGACACTGCAGATGCTCATTCCACTCACCATGAAACAGTCAGACATTGGCAGTGGTCAGTGGTGTGAATAGACGAAGCTCAGCGCAACCATTAACATTCACTCAGCACGATCATTAACATCAACTCAGGCGCTGACGCTCACACAGTCACTCACACTCACAGTGCAATACATGAATGGAACTCAGTTCAACTTTCAACCTCGGCTGCCATGGCAGATCGTCGGCACTGGTCAGAACATCGCACTGAACAGCAGATCACGGCGGAAGAGCAGGTGGCAAGCGCCTTGGGGCGAATCAATGCCGAGATCACAGCAGAGAGAGAACTGCAACACCAACTGGCTTTGCAGGAGGCGTCATTGCTCTCACAGAAAGTGTCTCTTTTGGAAGAGATCAGGAAGGCAGAGGACAAAGCTCTCAACGCCGTGAAGCAGCCTTGACATTTCACCGAAGAGTATCCAGAGTTCTCCCAATGGACCAACTTGAACCAACTTAGCAATACAAGATGAGCATTTGCTCTGTTTCTTGGCGCATTTACTAGGCACCTGTGTTGTGTTCATTCCTCTTTTTTAAGTTGTTGATCAAAGGGTGCTGCGCAAGTACCTCACTGCAAGTACTATTGTTGGTAGTCTTGACATCGGACATGTTTTAAGTTGTGGTTTAAGTTTTTGTCAAAAACATTGTGTTATCCATTGTCTTTAGCTTGAAGGGTTATCGTTTTAACCCCCTGACCTCAGGCGTGACCATGGGCGGCCATGCTTTGACTTTGGCTGTGACATACGGTTTCTGATTTTGACTTCAGTGTAGGTGGCGCCAACCCCAAAACAGCCCCAAGTTAGTGAAAAAAATCTTTGCGCTGTTTCTTGCATTTGTTGGTTTGCCATTGTTCAAACAACTGTGCAGAAGTACCGTAACAGCTTTGTCTTTGGCCCAGGTGCTCTTCAAAGAGTGAGGTCTGGGACAAGTGGTGCTGCGCAAGTACCAAATTTTTTCAAACAATCCCAGGTACTTTTGCAGCACCTGTTCTGATAATGTCTTGGCAGGTTCACAGGTGACAGT